TAGAATCCATAAATATCAATATTTTTCAGAAAATAGCTGTCACATTCAGAGATCTGATCGTATACTTTTGAATAATTCAAAGAAATAATGATATAACAAATTTGTGTCTGCATCGCCAAACGTATCTGCGCTATATCCAAACCGCACATTACGTTTTCATGCATCAAAATTCTACTAAAATACATACGGATATGCAGCTAAGTAGTTCTGAATAATACAAGCACCCATTTAGCAGAGCAGTACGCCGGGTCATCGTAAAAATGGAGGTGACCGACATGCAATGATCTGTAAATTGCCTCATATTCACTGCCCTAGAGAATTTACTTACCTTTCTTGGTGAGACCTATGAATCTGCAAGGCAACATAGCCTGAAAAAAGAGCAAATGATTCTTTTTTTTTTTTTTCAGACTAATGAGACGATGAGAATCATTTTAACCAGACAAAACGGACGCTCAGCATGTTCATGATAGACAGGCCTGGCTAGCCAGAATAAAGGAATCTAAACGCTAAATTCTGAAGAATGACATAGAATGGATAAAAGAAAAGCAAGGAATTTGTATGGGCAAAGGCAATACGAACTTAAAAAGAGGAAAAAAAGAATATTCGGGGTGAGAAAGCAGTTTTTCGTGTTTTGTTAAACGAAGTAAATATAACGATCATTTTTGTCGTCACCTCAGGCAGCATTCAAGAGAAATGTTAAAACATTTTATAATTTTACTTTTATTGCTTTAATTTCCACAGAAATTTACGTGATGTCCTTAATTCACTGAAATGGCGCTTTAAAAGCTGCAGGGAAATTTTGATTTTTCTACATTGGGAAATTAAGGCACTGGTAAATGAAATTAAAGTGTTTTCTGTCAACAGTTGAGAGTGATATCAAATGCTAAGTTCAAAGTGACATTTTTTTTTTTCAGTAAATTTGTGACGGATAATCAAAGATATTTTCACAAAAGCATAATTTTAGAATCGTAATTATATTTTAAATTTGCAGGTTAAGAATTCGCAAGTTACGAATTTAAACTAGTATTGAGCGTTTCAATTAATATTTTCCTTTTGCTTTTTCACTTAAAATATTAACGTATTAAAGTAGAATTTTTCTAGTATTTCATGACCATTGAGATAAAAATTGGAAAAAAAAACTGCACAGCAGGTACTTAACTCCCTTTCAGGAGGATTGAATGGAATGGTATAAAATGTCTTTTAATACATAAAGTATTTATTTGCAGTAACGGTCATTCAAGGACAAAGGCGGCTGCTTCTTAGAGTTTATCGATTTCAGGATATTTGTTCAATGGCAGTTGGCGTTTTTGGCTTTATCATTTACTATAGCCATACTTTTGAAAAAATTTGTTTTAACTCTGCTTTTTTATCAGAAGTGTAGATATCCTACCTTTGCAAAAAGTTCGCAAGTGTAAAAACATAAAATATAGGTGACAGGTACCTAAAGCAGTTAAATACTAAATAACGGAAACAAGCTAAAATTCATTTTCTCTTACAAAAATGCCTCCAGACACGCAAGCGTTTCCACAAAGAGAATTGAAAACCTTTCGGGTCGATAATTTTCTGCAGGCGAATGTTTTTCTCTTCGAGATTATATTTACCGTTTTAGTTTAACTTGGTAAGAGACAAAAATAGTTCTTGGCTCCATTCTATTAACCGTTTCTCTGATTTCAAGTGATTTTCATCCCATTATCAAATTAAATGCATAATATCTAAAAATATGACGCCTTTCAATCGTTAAGTGTTGTTTTAGTTAGAAACGTTTCTATCAAATTATTGGCTATTTCTAAATGCATATGTTTATTTCTGAGCATCATTATAAAGTTTCATAAATCCCTAAACTGAATTGTATTTTCCAAATGGTGCTGAAGCTTTCCTTAATAGAAAGAAAACGCAGTCAAAGAATAAATCAATTTTAATAGAATTCCATTAAGAATAGTAATAGAAGAAAAATATATCGAATAACAATGAACTTGAACAAAAAATGCTAAATATTTCTCGCAGCCTACAAGTCTGCTGTTGCACTTATTCTTGCTCACTCCCATTTTTTGTCTTTTTAGCTTTAGTATAAAGCATCGCATTTTGCACATTTATGCCATATACAATTCAACAGCAAACTAACAAAAAATTTTAAAAGCAGCATATGTTTAGAATTCCCGATGCAGTGTTAAGTTTTGGCATACAATTTTTTATTATTTTCAGTCATTTCGGAGTTCATCATAGCGATTTTAATTTCTCTTGGTAAAGATGGCTTACAAAACTTTTTTTGGGTCTTTTTATGGCTAACGTTTTGTGTGTTCCCTTTATTTATTAAACATCACATTCTTCGCACTTACGCCACATAAAATTCAATTCAACAGCAAAACCACAAAATATTATAAATTAAAAACAACATATCTTTATAATATAAATTAAAAACAACATAGCTTTATAATATAAATTAAAAACAACATATCTTTATAATTTCGAAATACACTTTCGCACGGTAATCGTTAATCAAAAATTCCTCAAAATTTTATAAAATAAGAAATAAATCATAAAAAATACACAATGTTATTGTATGAAAATATTGAATATTTTTAACTAAGATCATGAAAATGCATTTTTATTCTTTAAATCAGTTCGATTCAAAAGCAAGAAATGAATATTCTTAAGAACTGCTATTATTTTCAAATAGCTTAATTTGTTAATCCCCAAAGGACAGAGATTTAATTTGAAATATAAATAGTTTACATTTTGTAGAATGTCAACATAATTGAACGAAACGTGAAACGACGCATTCATAGGGATTCGACGTAAAATGTTATTTCAAGAATAATAGCCCATTTTTGGGCTAAAAAAGTGTCCAACATTAAAACGCTGCAGAATATAAGACTTTCAATAATGAAGTTCTTTAGAAATTCAGAACATGAGGATTAAAGCTAAAAAAAGAAGACTAACAGCTTAAAATAGAGTGGTTTTAAAAATACATACATTTTTAAGACTGATTAGAAGACTGAGCTTGGTATCAGCTTTGTAATAGCAGTCTGAATCTGTCTTTTTTATTATCTTTGACCGATATAATCATGCTTTAAGAAGCGTAATCGTTAATAAAACATCAATAAAATAAATTATGAATAAAATAAAATTTCACGTTAAGTATCTATTATTAGTATTATTTAAGCTTTTACTCTTTACTGTAAGAAATATGTTTATATTTAAGTAAAGCTTAAATATAAGCCAAGCATTCAAAAGATGAAAAATTCAATGAATTTTAGCCAAAGGATTTTATCAATATTTACAATATCTCAAAAACAGCTTTACTGGGAATAAAGAAATTTTGGATCTCTATTCCTTGGGTTTAAAAATTGATTTCTCTGCTTCAATTAGTTTTAATTATTATTATTATCTTAATGTTAGTGAAACCTCTAACGTTGGAATATCAGAAATAATAACAAGTAAACATTCGAAACAAAAGAAAAAGGATTGCATGGTAAAGGTTAAGACACGAAGTTGAGAGAGTTACAGAATTTTAATTTCTCATTCATAATTATGCATTTCGACTAATTTAATTATTATTAATCATGCACATTTTCCAAGGATTTCACATTCAGCCTTAATTTCCTCAGAATAAAGTCGGCTGCGTGATTGTTTACTGGTTTCCCATTTTGAGTAACGTAAATGCAAGGCATTTTTTAAAAAATACCTTCCTGGAAAGCGCCCTTCCACAGATAGCGCATGCGTGCTTTGCCATCTAAATAACCATGTAGCCAAGCTTAACGTTAGCATTTTCTTTTATTGCGGCTTCTAGTGCAAATAATTAACTAAATGACAAAAAATAAAATACATGCTAGATTTGTTTGTTTGTGTATTTAAACACAGCAAAGCCAAAAAGAGGGCTATTTGCCTTAGTCTCCGCTAAGGAACTTCAAAGAGAAATTAAGGAAAACCACAAGAAATACATAATCTGGCCGCATAGGTCGCCAGATTATATATGCTAGGTAACTATTTGTCTGTTTTATAACCTTAACCTCTTAACAGTGCACTGATAATTTTTATCAAAGTGTTACATTACAGAATTTTCACAGAAAAGTATTCATGAAATTTTCAATTATATTTTAACATTTTATGTTAAATTTCGGTTGAGATGTAACTAAACACAAGGATAAATCGTTGCGCTTTAGTCAGATTTTTATACATTAACGTGAGAAATGGCAAAATGCAGTTACCGATTAAGTACAGTCTTAAAAAATAGCATTTTATGCTTCTCAGTTACTTAGTATTTACATTTTATTGAATGTAATTCTCATATCTACGTTTTTAATATTTTATTTTAAAATTAAGCTTGTTTAAATGAATATTAATCGTTGTAAACACAATAATTCAATATAATTCAAATATTCCTTTTTGAATTCCTTCTAATTTGATGACTGAAGAAAAGTTTACTGCAATATTTAAAAAATCTTGAAGTCTCTCATCTTTATTTAGAAAATTGCTGAAGATAATCTGAGGAAACACACAATTGATTTGGAATAATACTAAGCACTAGAGTTGTCTTAATAGATAAATCAAGGAAAATTTGATAGAATAATTTTTTATTGTCATTTATAAGAATTTTTTTTAAAAACATTTATAAAATTTTTTAGCTTTTTGTTTTTAAGCCCATGAAAGACGAAGTCTGAAAGCCATTGTTTTGCTAATTCCTTCTAGGTTTCCCGGTTATAGTTATATTTTCGTGGTTCGGTAGCTTGGGGACGATCCAGTGTCCCTTAATAAGTTCTTAGTTAATCAAACTAAACTTTATGAAGAAATTTCAGTTAACGTGTGGAAGCCATACCTTCAGATTACTAACTAATGTATACTCTGTTCCGTATTAAGCCTACCAGAAGTGAGCTAACCCCAATCAACACAGTACTGCACTAGCTCTTAAATCACCAGACCTGAAAGCTATCCGTAACTGCATATCGAAAGAAAAATTTCCAGTAATTTTTGCTTTTGCTATATCTGATTGGTTGACTTACTCATAAACCAGTTCTTCGAATGGAGGTAGGAAGTTAGACCTCCATGGTAAGAAAGGTATCCATGGTTCTTCGGGGGGCGGGGACTACAAGCCAAACATTTTCACCTGACTCGGCACATCGGTTCCAGCAAGACTGTTTCGGCTAGGAATCATCCAGTGGCAGGAGGATAAGCTCGTTTCATGGAAAATTTCTTCTAGCGTCACGCGTCGCTACATGTGATAACCACAAAAGGCAAAACCTCGTCCAGTCAGGCGCCCATGAAGAAGAGGAATCATTTTCGCCTAATTAGACGACAATCAGATGCGTTCCAGCGCATCAGTTCCTTCCTAAAATGAAGAATTACCTTTGCAGTAGGATGAGATGGACCATATGGACATTACTCAGATAAAGCAGAATTTGAAGGGGAGTCAAAAAGAAGTGAGAGTTAAAAAACAGATTGCAGAGTTAAAAAAAAATAAAGACAAATTTATGTACTTATTTTTATTTTGCTTAACGCCATTATGAATGACATTAATGATTGAGTTAAAATGCTATAGAGAAATTCCAAAAAATGTTCATCCCAATAGAAAGCAAAATAATTTATTTGGATTTTTAATTGCTCTTTTATTCTTTACTTTTATTAGGTCAGTAAAGTCAGCTATTGCCTGAAACGGATGTGTCATTCATTGTACGCAATTCATGTTTTGAATCTTTTTTATGTATTTTAGATTATGAGGAACTTTTGCCTTGCCCGTTACGTGCTGTCGAGGTGTGGCAATCGGAAGATATGGAGTTGGAATTTTGACAAGGGCATAGTTGGTTTATCATAGTTCCTAGCTTCAAAAAATTTTAATGTCTCTGCGGTGGCGCCCGACTAGAATGTGGTGAATTCGTCATCACCTGGATTTGGCGACTGGGTCTTCTCTCTCCTCAGCTGCCCATTCAAGTGGGGGAGAATATAACGACTTTTCGCCTTCCCCATTTCTCGCTCTCATAGTGTAATTAATATGCTGGCAACCGGTGGATATGGAACTCGAATACCGAAGAAGGCATAATTGATTATTTAAGTTTAACACTTTCCGTCACGGTGCCTTATAAAAATGGAGTTTTGATTTAAAAAAAAAAGGTAGGCAGTCTAATTAGGCCTTAAAGGAGTACACAATTAAAATTTTGTGAAGATAGCACTTATCGTTTAATTTTGTGGGTGTGCCCAAAGTGGGCGCACTAATTGAATAGAGCTTCGAAAAGAGTGCTGAAACGAGCATTGTTGTCAATGAACTGACCGATGTGATGCGGAGAAACAAAGAATACAGACTCTCAGTTGTCCTAGATTATCGGTGAGCCCCGTCTGGGCACACCTAGGGTTCGCCGTTTGATTTTAGGCAAGATTTCAAGGTAAAAATTTAAAACTAATATATAATAGCAATAACTAATAATGATTATCATACAGGTAAAAAATAACATAGAAATTTCTTTTCAAACAATTCCTTTTATACCCTAAAAAATATGAAAGATTTCTTTGAAAAAGGAGGGTCTTAAAAAACTAAGCATGGCTAAAATATATGGACTGGCTTGTGTTGAGCTGCCATCTACTGTAAATAAAGAAGGTTCAGAGTAACCTATAAATCCTTTTTCATTCAATTTTTCGGTGCGTACGGAAGGACATTTTTAGGTGTGTCCAGACTGGACACACTATGCCGCAAAGGGTTAAAGCTTCAAAAAAAAAAAAAAAAAAAAACTATTGAAGCTAAATAATTTTTTTTTCTTTCAGGATAACAGAAACTGCTAGGAATCACTTTTGATACGTTCCATCGCTTTAATTTTTAAACTTTTCTTCATATATAATACAACGATCGAAAAAAAACAATATGTTTATTATCACCTCTTTTGATTTATTTTTAGATCAGAATCATGTCACTGAAAAAAAAAATTGACAAGAAGTCAGTTAGTCAAGTTCAAATATTTTTAGAACATCGATGCAGCCAGGCAGTAATTCAGAACCATTCTAAAGTAATAGAATAACAATTGCATCATGTCAGCCGAATTGAAAATTCGAAGCTAGGATTAAAGAAATGCGATGGGAATCCCGAAAAAGAAGGGATGAAGAAGCAAACCAACAAAGTCACTGCTGCAAAAACTTGAAATAATCATAGCAAGATTAGATACTCTGAACGGAAGTAAGTAGTCTAAGGTACTAGTGGCTAAAGTACTACATGTAAGTCATTAAGTCATGAGCTGCCATATAAAATATACTTTGAAAAAAAGATGGTTTAAAAAATTTAAATGCCATCAGGGTGTGAATGCGAGAGTCTTGGATATTAGGCACAGTGCTTTTTCGAGAGTTTTCAGCGATTACATTTAGGATAAAAATATAAGATTAAGAGAGTTTTGGGACACCTTAAAATTTGAAGCTCTAAGCAATCAGGTCGTGAATATCAGCAATTGAGGGATAAATTTGTGGAAATGAAAAGTTACCTTTCACAGCCCCTCTGAAGAAACAAATTTTGTAAACTCTGAATAACAAATAAGGCTTAGATCTGTCTTTCAGACTGAAGTCAAAAATTAACGCTTCATTATATCATTTCACAGTTGAAACATGCAAGATTTAATTACATCAACTTCAATGGCTTATCCTAAAGGCGGTATGGTTTGCATGGAGAATTCTACAGCTTCGTTTCATTCAGCAAGGGATTAATGTTTAAAGAGCTACATAACAGAAAATTTAAGCATCCTTTCTAAAGCATGGCCTCTCTGGTTAGAAATGGAATTTTTCATCAAGATTTTGTACCTTCATAATTTTGAAATATTTGACAATTCCTCGAAGATCGATTTTTAAAGCCTGACCAATGGATGCCGAACAATCCTGATGGTGCACTATGTAATTATTTCTGTGGGAATACCTGATAAGAAATTAATAAAGAAATAGTTCTGCTAAATGGGATCTTAAAGAGGTTAATGGAGAAAAGCTGAAGAAAATGCCTTCAAAAAATGACATTACGCGCTTCAACTCTTTGAGGGAAGGGAAAAGGCAATTAACTTTTTTCAGCAAAACTCTTGTTTTATTTACTATATCAGGTGTTACAATGAAATTATTTGCGACAATTACACATATTTTGTCCAAGACGCGTAGAAAAATGACCACTTCTGGTGTTAGTGTCAGTGACCAACGCCCACACAACACATCCCTACAGATCAGTTTGTATGGTACTCATGGAAACAGTTTTTCTTTTTCAAGCAGAGTGTAACTTTACATGTGCTGCATCCCACACTGTTCTTACTGGCTTTTTCTTGGTGCTGCAGAGTGCACATCGTCGTGATGTTGTCTTTGATGGTTGATGCTCATTTTCGTGAAGACGAATTCCTGCATCAACTACTGGCTTATATTTCTTGATTGGCTTATGCTTCTTGATTGGCTTATGCTTCTTGATTGGCTTATGCTTCTTGATTGGCTTATGTTTCTTGATTGCCATCTAGTGAGCTACAAGGGAACTTCATAAAACCACTCACACGAGTGAGTAAGACGTTCAATAGAGAAGATGGTTACTGTAGGTAACCACCGCCCTTCAAAGAGTTAAATCATGTGCAGTGTAGATTAATCAGGTATACTAATGATACTCCTCCTGAGAAACATAGATAACTCCTTTTTGTAAAATTAAAAGCTACGAAGCATTAAAAGTGATCCCTAAAAATATTTTGTTACCGCTTATTTTGAAAAATTTTGTTTCCCTCTTTATTAGACGTAGTCAGGTTCATAATCACAGAAAATGACAAAATACTACTATTTTTTTTATGTTGATTCTGTACTGAAAAATCATGATCTTTATATTTATTGAGTAGGTGATTTTTAAATTAAAACTTGTAAGTTCTAACTTTAAAACCAGTTTGTAAGAATAAAGATGATTTACAGTAAATACTATTATCTTTTGTAGCATAATTTTTTTTTTTTTTTTTTTTTTTTTTTTTTTTTTTTTTTTTTTTTTTTTTTTTTTTTGTAACAGTAAAGCAGTTTATTTTGTCCAAGGCTTTTTTTTTTCATTTAATCATACAAAAGAATATGCTCTAGAGCAAGGATCAGTGGAATATATTAAAGGGTATTTCTAATCAATGCTATATTTTCCAATGATATAGAATATAACTGAAACAAAAAGGAATATTAATATAAATTTTTAAACCATATTCTTCATCACCGTCATTATTGCTTTCAAAAATATAATAAAACCTCTGAATTTTATTTATTCATCGAACTTTAAAAAACAACGCCAATACTCTTTTTAAACAATAAAATCTCTTTTTGAAGAATACGCTATACCTCGGAAATTTTAGTATCTTGATCAGCATAATTAATCAGCAAGTATGTAATAATAGCTGTACTATTAATCATATAATAAATATTAAGTCTATAAAGTGTTTTCTCTCTCTCTCTCCTTTCCACATGCCTTCGTGGTGTAACTGGAAGCACACTTGACGCGTGTTCGCGAAGTCCGGACTTCGAATCTCGGCGAGGGCACTACACATTTTTCACGTCTCTAGCATCAAAAACCTTAATGACTCTATAAGTCATGCTTGTAATATGTACAAACTTCGTTTATCATTGTAAACAGTCATGTTGTATAATAGTTCTAGTTTAATGGCTGACAACAGCGTAGCAGTTATGTGTGAATAAAAATGATACATTAACCAATAAATAGTTTGAATTTTGCTTAAACATCAGCAAAATTTTAATAAAATTGGAAAAAAAATTATTATAACACTTTATTAAAATTCCAGACAACTGCGCAAAATCTCTTCCCCGTGAAGCCTGTTTAATTCGTTTGCATAGGCTGCGTGTTCCGCATGTTTACAATTCACTACTCTTCTTATTATGCAGCAAACTGCGTGACTATCTATTCACTGCCTATATTATTAAAAGCGCAGTTTAACGCCTGAAATTCTGATAACCATGCGTAAGTTCGCTTCATAGTGCTTTTCTTTTTACTAATCAATAAAACTAACTCCTTCAGTAACCGGTGCACAATAGTTTCCATGTTATTTATCATGCAAACGGACTTCAGTTTTAACTATAGTTTTAGAACATTAGTTTTAAATGCGTTTGTGTATTATGTGAACGTTTTACTGCAAACTTGATTCTTAACGGAGTACAACTATGAAGCGTGACAGAAAATAGTTTCAGCAGTCAATGCTTGTACTATTTCATAAATGGGTATGTATTAATGCATTGGAGTTTTTGACTGCATGAACGTAATAAAAGTACTTAAAACAAGAGACAGAGTTTAGTTTCTCGTCGGGAATCTCACAACCTCTACTAATAATTCAAATTATCATACATATTTTTTTCCGAGTAACTTGCG